ACACGTCACTTGGCCAGAACTTGAGCGGCGAGGGTAAAGCCATCATCCTGAGCTCTGTGTCGAGCTGTAAGGAGCTTAGACTACCCAACTGTAGCATCACACTCTCTCAAACCCAAACCAGATCTGCAGTTAATCCACACAAACAGAGTCTTGTGTTGAGTTCTCGATTTCCATGTCTGAGCCAAAGGGATGAGGCTCGCTGTCTTACAACTCTCTACATTGCGAGTAAATCACTCGCATATGCGACTAAATCTTCACTCTGGGCGACTAAATGATGTCTAATATTAGCCAATGGCTAATAAATTCTTACATTTTACTCGCCAGTGTGTGGGTTGGAGGCTGAGTATATGTTTAGCACAGATATATTTTCACTCACAGAACACTCTGACTGAGCGCTTCAGAGTTTCACTCTCCATCAAGCGATCTGTGATATTTTTCAGTTCATCTCAATGGATGCGCAGCGCACCTGTGTTTGTGTATTTGGCGTAACGTAAACTCTAGTGTAAAGGTGCACGTCTCGTCTTAGGTCTGTGTCTGCCCAGCAGGATTATGGGAAGCGAGAGCGTGGCGCCCTGCTGAGGTTTGGACTGTGTGTTTGTTTCTCTGCCACTTTCCCACAATGCACATGCCATCAGAGTTGCTTTGACTTTGCTGCCTACTTATGCAACATTTTTAGGCATCATCTCCATCAACAGTATGCAAAATTATGCAACATTACAAGATGGCTTTTTAGGACAAAATCAAAGCATTTTATATATCATTTTCTGATAAGACAGTCCCAGAATGCTTTAAAAAATATTAATAAATTATTATAAATTACATAATAATTATGTTATTATATAATAACACATTTATTTGATTTGATTTGTGTATCTGGTCTCAAGATCGGTTTTTCATTCTGTAGTAGTCTGTCCAAAGTAGCTGTTGCTAGTTTAATAAAAATAAGTACCAATAATAATAATAACAATAATTGTAATAGTAATACTTTCTATAATTTTGAATAAAATCATTTTTCTGTAAAAATATATTTTTGTAGATTTTAGTATAATCATCTACGTATTAAATGGGGATTTTGACTCTTCAAGAGGTATTTCACTTTTATTCAGGCTAGTTTTTGTATCTACTAGAATATAATTTAGCAATTATAAAAGCATTTTTAGAATATATTAGCATTAAAATACTATTTGAATATATAATTTAGTGATGAAATGTATATTATAATATCATGTATGTAATTTGATAATAATAATAAAATTTATTATTATTATTATTATTTTTGTTTTTGTTGTTGTTGTTATTATTAAAAATTACAATTATTAATTTAAATTAATACAATTTACAATTTAAGGCAATTACATTAAAATATTTGTATAATTTGGTTTATGCTTATTATTATTATTATTATTATTATTATTATTATTTGTATAAGCCAAGCTATATAAATATTTCAATTGCATTTTTAAATTTGTTTTTATTAAATAAAAATACATTATTTTATTTAAGTCACAATATCGTTTTATTTTCATTCTGCTGTAGTCTTATCTAAAGTAACTGTAAACACTCCCAAAATGTAGCTGACTGTGTAGATGTTGAGGCAGCTTGCTACATTTTTAACAAAGCTTGGAGTATCCAGGAGCTTTGGTTAATCGTGGATGAACATTATGTATCAAACCAAGTGAAGAGAGATGGAGCGTCATGGTCTGTTTCATCTTCAGTATGGTTATAGCTTCCAGTTCCTCATGATTAATAGTGTGCAAACATAGTCAGAGATGTTTCGTTCTGTTAGTTACAGATGGTTTAGAGATGATTACAGATGATTCTCCAGACTCTACGGGCCAGAGTCCCAAACACAGATTAGGGCTAGTGCTAAAAAGGATTTTCACTGCAGAATTACTGATGAGATTGTAATTTAGTTCAGATTCAGGGTTAATCTGTGTCTGGGAATCAGACGCTCTACTATAAATATGGAATTAGTCATAAATGTTGTGAAATATTACAGTTGTTCATGTTTCTGAAAGCATAGTGTGTCCTTTTATTGTTGTTGTGTTAATTACTAAAGTGTGTCAGCAACAGCAACAGAAACGGGGTTGCTTTCTGATATATGGCTGTGACCGTTGTCAGTTTTGGACTAATAAGTCATCACACATCCACTAAAAATCACCTGTTCTGGTTAAAATTCACTGCAAAAATGTGTATCATCTAATGCATTGACATTCAAACATTTAAGTGTGTCTACATACATTTTTGGTTCACTATGGTTGAGCTTTTGAAAGCATATTTGTGTGTTGCCATTGAATTTTTAAATTGGTAGTTCACCTTTTTAGAGAGGTAAGGATGTCTTTCTTCCTCTCTCTCTTGCTGTTTATCTTTGCTCAGGTAATTAAAAACCAGAGAAAGTATTTTTTGGTCACTGAACACTGTTGAGCCTCTCTGGCGACACTGCAGCTCAGTTAACAGCTGCCGTACTCGTACCGGGGAAGGATTTGAGCTCTGTCAAGGACTCCACATCCAGGCTGAATAATTTAATGTGCTGCTGCCGACAACCTGTATAATTAATTCATCGGACCTACTTTGTTATTTTGGCTTCCGAATTTTAAAGTCAAATCGCACAGATAGGATGCAGCTGCATGTGAAACTCAGGGACATGCAATTTGGGCTGTGAGGCTTTTTGGATGAACAGAAATGTTGGTCGATGGGATCGTAACCAGATGAGTGTCAAGAGGAGATGCACTGAACTCAAGAATTAGATTCATTAAAAAGAACAGAGTTGCTAAACCAACTCATAAGACTCATTCCTTTGTTAGATTACACTGAATATGTTGAATGTGTTACATTCGTTAAAGCGGTGCTATTATGCTTTTTCACTTTTTCAACTTTAGTTAGTCTGTAATGTTGCTGTTTGAGCATAAAAAAGATCTGCAGAGTTATAAAGCTCAAAGTCCGATTCAAAAGGAGATATTTTATCTAACAGAAATCTTTTCAAAAACTACAACGAACGACTCGTTTGGACTACAGAACCGGCTCGCTAAAAAGAACCAAGTCATTTTATGGGGAATCACTTGGACTGTACTAATTGCACTTCATGTTTTTGATTCAGTGATCAGAATTGACTCATTAGAGTCATTCTTTTTGGAATTTGTATGTTATTGATTCACTAAAAACCAATTCAGTTAACTCATCAGACTCATTCATTTAGCAGGTAGATAACACTGGTCATGTTGACTTATATTTGCTAAAAAGAACTGATTCACTAAAAAAGAACCAAGTCATTTTTTGGGGAATCACTTGTACTGCACTGATTGCACTTTGTTTTTGACTCATTAAAAAGAATCAATCCACTCATAGGAGTCAGTCATTAGGGAATCGTTTGGACTATACTCCTGACACTTCGTGAATGTGATTGACTAAACAGAAACAACTCATTGGAGTCATTCTTTTTGGTATCGGTGGAATAAACCGGCCCCACTGTATGTTTTTGATTAACCTAAAAAACAACCAACTCATGGGGATCATTCATTTGGCAATCGATTGGAGTGGACTATACTGATTGCACTTTGCTTTTAATTTCACCAAAAAGAATCGACTCATTTGGGAATCGATTGGACAATACTAATGACACTTCGAATCCTAAGAATCGTTTGTTTGGGAATGTGCCAGAGTTTCTGGGTGCTCTGTGCATCTTATGAGTACTCTATCATCATTATAATCTTATAACACACACACAGAAGTTCTCAATTAGGTCAGAGCCTCTGTGTGGGCATCCCAGATTGGCCTGTGCCCCATAAAAGCATGAAATCCACTGCAGAAATCATTTCCGCTTTGTGATCTCAGGCAGGTGAGATAACCTGATTAAACACACCTATCCCATAATCCCCTCTGAGTGGAGTGAGCAATGATGACATCGTTATAATAGATATGAGAGCTTTCATGGCATTTGCTTTTGTGAGGAATGCTGATTATACAAGACGTGTCCTCTTTCTCTCTCTGCACTCTCTTTTTTGACATTTTCTAATATGCTCATAGTCTTGTCTCTTCTTCTTTTCCTCTCACATATCCGTCACCGTCATTTGGTCTCCATATTTTTAATTTATTCCATATTCCTTGACTTTTTTTGGCTCAGGCAGCCTTGACTTCAAAGTAGCGTACGTGTTCATCAAAGCGAGTCTCCTCAGGTGAGCCTCTTGGTCGAACGCTTAAGCAAGAGTGACACGTCACTTTTATTAAAACTTCCCACGGCGTTGAACTTCAGAGCAATCTGGCAACCCTGCCCTTATGAGCTTAAGCTGAGGTCACACTAGGCTTTGAGCAACTGAAATTACTTCAGATCCCACAATGCTGCAAACCAGGCAGCTTTTAAATTTGTGCACTCTTTGAATTCAGCCAAAAGGTCAATCTGTGACATTTACATCTACTATGGGTCAAATGTCTTCACATATAACATCATTTTAGCATCACAAATGTGTATGAATGAAAGGGAATGGTGTATTTTTTTTCTGTTTGCTTGATTAAATGCATCATATATTGACCTGAAATGTCATTTTGTTGTAAACACCAGTGTTATTTTAGTATTTGAGATCCTGTTAACACTTTATAATAAGGTTTCAGTTGATAATATTAGTTAACATGAGTTAACAATGAATAAGACCTCTACAGCATTTATTAATCTTAGTTAATGTTAATATCAGCATTTATTAATACATTTTTAAGATCAAAAGTTGTAATTGTTAACATTAGTTAATGCACTATGAACTAAAATGTACATTTTTATTAAATAAATAACAATATAAACATTTTTATATTGTTTTTATATATCTAAATAACATTAACAAAGGTTAATAAATGCTGTAGAAATATATTGTTCATTATTAGTACGTGAGTTAATGCATTAACTAATGTTCACTAATGAGACCTTATAGTAAAGACATTAAAAAAAAAATTGTTTTAGTTTTAATTGAATAAGCCTGAGTTATTGATAATTAATTGTGTTTTTTTTGTTGCAGTGCTGGCCAGTTTTCGAGGAACGGTGCAGCATGGCTTGCCTCTGGAGATCGGTGACACGGTGCAGATCCTGGAGAAATGTGAAGGTACATAATCACTGACGTCAGCCCTCTTTTACATTTATTTCAATAGTAGAAACCCCATTTTTGTGTTTACACCAGTTTGGACCAGCTTCAGTTTCAAAATGGTTAAGATTAGTGTTGTCAAAAGACCCGGTACTTCGGTACCAAGTCGGTACTAAAAAAATGAAATGGACAATGCTGGTCTGTTACTTGCACAAGCTGATTATTGTGGGTAGACCTACTTGACAAGGATGAAAGTGCTGAAAACTTGTAATCAGTGATAGTTTTAACTGGTCATTTAATCTCACCAGCTGATTTAAACTGTCTAAGCTGGTATAGGCGTTTTTTCATGTCAGCAGGGTTGCTTGAGTATAATGTTGCCAGATTGGTCTTGGAGCTTGCCTACTGAAAAGACCAGCAGTTGGTCACCAGCATATGTTGTTTTGGATGTGATGTGCATTTTTATTTCCACCAGGCTTCTTAAGCAGCAGGACTTCCTTTTTCATTCAGCTTTACCAGGAAGTCCATGCAGGTTGAACAGCTTCATTCATTCAAGAAGGGCTGCAACTAACACTTATTTTGATATACAAGTAATCTAATGATTATTAGAACGATTCGTCGACTATTCAGCCAAATTTTACTTCAGTTAAGAGGTTGCATTAGGCATGTGCTAACTAGCAATACAGACAATGAAACAGGGTTAACATTAAATGTATTTAAAACATATATGTTAATTGAAATAAAGCTGAAATAAAATATAAATATTAGATGGAAAAACGTAAACTAAATGAAAATTAGCAATGTTTTATTGACAACGAACTGTGTTGAAGCACTAAAATTGAGCACTAAAACTAGAAATAAAAACTAAAACTGAACTAAAAAATAAGTAATCCTTAGTAGTTTAGGTTAACTAAAATTTAAGTGAAAGCTGAAAATATTAAAAATAAAAGCAAATTCAGAATGTCAATAATAATGTCAATTATTTATAATAAAATAATTATATATATTAATGTTAATCTATAATATATAAATAATACTAAAATAACACTGCAATGAAAACATCTAATGAAAATACCATTTACTGACCTTCAACGAATTATAGGTAAAAAAAAATATATATATATTTATATACACGTATATATTTATTTTTGTATCGATTTAATGCATCCTTGCTAAATAAAAGTATTAATTCCTTTCATTTCTTTCTAAATAAGTAAAAAAAAAAATAATTCATTCATACTGACCCCAAACTTTAAAATGGTCACGTATGTTACAAAAGCTTTCTATTTTAGATAAATGTTATTAATCAAAGTTCAAATGTTTATCAAATGTTTCTTGAGCAGCAAATCAGCATATTAGAATGATTTCTGAAGGACAGAAAACCGTTATTTTAAAATGTAAAAATATTTCACAATATTACTGTTTTTGCTGTATTTTGGATCAAATAAATGCAGCCTTGATGAGCAGAAGAGACTTCTTTGAAAAACATTTTCAAAATCTTTCCGATCCGAAACTTCTGAATGGTAGTGTGTATATATGTGAGAGAGTTTGTGTATTAGCAAGAAACCAGCTATAACCAGTCAGAATGGAAAGTCATTCTGATCTAAGAGGGTCTTTTCATCAGGGTAGGCTTGATTTGAGAAACTGCTGACACAGAGACACCTGTACCACCGCTCATTCGTCAAGTAAGCGGGAGGATTTGAAACCGGTCTTTTTTTGTGACCCGCACTCAACTCCTTCGTTTCCTGTTTCCACCCTTTGAAGACACACTCCTTTGTTCTCTGGGTGCACACGCTTCCTGTTTTTTGAGTAAGAGAGCTGGTTTCGGGTTGGAGAACACTAGAAATGTTGTGAAGGAGAACACAAATCTTAACAGTAGATATGAAACTACATAATCATTAGTTCCTGACTGACTGCAGGTGATAATCATCAGATGAAGGGTCATGTTTCTATATTCAGCTGCTGTTACTACACCATTTACCGTCCAGAGGCCCCCTGTTTTTCACACCTTCAAAGTGTGCTTCTCGGCTTTTTGCCAGGAAGCATTGATTGTGGGTTGGTTCGCAGTGGGCAGGAGATGTTCACATCTGTGGTAGTGCAGAGTCAAAGTGATCCTGAGGTTGACAGTATCTTGTTGGTCAAAGCATTGCTTAGTCTCAGTGGTGTGTCAAACGAGACTAAGGTTGGTTAGTTGGCCAATGTGTTAGAATGAAACTGATAGAGTGGGTGTCAGTTGAGTAAATATCAAAATATGCCTCTTAAGTTCCTACAGTAAGCGATAAAAGGTGTTTAACAAGCATTTGTATTTTATATGGTAAATCTTTGGTGAAACAAATGCTGCAATTGCTATTTTATTACTCTAGATGCTGTATTTAGTGCTATGTGGTTGGATGTTTGAGATATTAAAGGTATCTCAAACCATATGATCATAACCATATGATGTTGCTAAAAAGAACATTATTTTGTGTATTTGGTGTAATGAAATGTGTTTATGCGGTTTAAGGTTCAAAAAATACATTATTTTCCACATACTGTACATTATTGTTTCTCCTCTATGCCCCGCCTTTCTGAAACGAGTCGATTTTTTACAAAGCTCATCGGTCTGAAAAGCGAAGTGTGCTTTTTACAGATCTTCTTTATGCACCAAGAGCTTGTAACACTAAGAGAAAGGAAAAATTTAAATCGCATCATATGACCCCTTTAAATATCTTTTAATATAAAGAAGCATTTTTAATATTCATTCACTTGACACGCATATCTGAATTCTGTCAGGTTTTTTGTACTTAAAGGGATTAATTCTGTCATTGACTCACCCTAAAGTTGACGGTAGCCATTGACTTCCATAGTGTGTTTTTCCATACTGTGAAAATCAATGGCTACCGTCAACTGTTTGGTTACCAACATTCTTCAAAATATCATTTTTTGTGTTCAACATAGGAAAGAAACTCGTACAGGTTTGTAACAAATTGAAGGTGAGTAAATGATGACAGAATTTTCATTTTTGGGTGAACTGTCCCTTTAAGTAAATAAGCATAGATTTGTCCTTTTTTGTACTAATTTAAGGACATTTCCAACATTACTTGCTGTTTTGTTCGATAACATCCTATGAAAAGTACCTTTATGATAAGGCTCAGTCAGGAAACATTTGGCTGATTTTAAAGATGAAAGTGACAGAAATGTTTTGTGTTTCAGGTTGGTACAGAGGATTTGTCCTCAAGAACCCGAATGCCAAGGTAAGCAGCCGTCTCCATCTTTTATCAGTCGTGTTTGTGTCGGATGCTATTTTCAGTTCCTGAAATATCACAGCTACACCGTCAGCCGAAACGCACGGATCAAAGACAATATCTTGCTTTATTTCTGTCTGTTTGCTCCCTTGATTCTTAGTAGGCTTATTCATTTTTTATTTTGGTTTATTTATCTGTTTGTCTATCTATCTTTCTTATTAGGGCATTTTCCCATGCAGCTACATCCATCTGAAGAATGCTAATATCAAGAATAAAGGGTGAGTTGAAGGAAAGAACAACAAACACGAAGTCATTTAGCTGAGTATTTAGCTTGGTCGTTGTGCTGTTTCAGTAATTACTGTAGTAAATCTCCCCCCATGGAAACATTGAACTGGAGTTTCGGTGATATTAGTAATATTTGTGTAATCACAGATATCTGGCATGTCTATTTAAAGTGCAAACATGCACATTTTACACATTCTGTTCGCTATTGTTACTGCAGTACAGCCTATAGTTTAACCTATAGTTTGCAGTCTGCAAGAAAATGTCACTCCATACACCACTAAACCGTCTAATTTGATTTGGATTTTTCAATAAGAAAAATGTAAAATATATTTTATTATATTTTATTTTTGTAAAATATATTTAGCTTTTCCCTAAATCTCTCACACAGCTGGGACTGAATTTTGTTGATAAGCATAAATATGTATGCCTATTGACGAAATATTGCAGGATGAAAAATGTATCGCTTTTTTCTTCCGAAAGTGAAAGTTTATGCAAGTAAAATGAATTTATTTTGTTTGAAAACTTAAATATGTTTTGTTTTGTTAGAAATGTGACCCTGGACCACAAAACCAGTCATAAGTCGCTGGGGTATATTTGTAGCAATAGCCAACAATACATATGGGTCAAAATGATTGATTTTTCTTTTATGCCAAAAATCATTAGGATATTAAGTAAAGATCATGTTCCATGAAGATATTTTGTAAATTTCCTACTGTAAATATATCAAAACTTAATTTATGATTATTGAAATTCAAAAAATTGACCCTTATGACTGGTTTTGTGGTCCAGGGTCACACACACACACACACACACACACTCATATATATATATATATATATATATGATTAATGTTATGATTAAAAGAAAACTATGATGCTATATTAATTTCTAAATGTATTAATTAATCAAAAATGGGTAAATGCAGTAAAAACATGGTAATAAAACTTTTACAATTTTTTTCACATTCACTCATTAAAAGTTGCTGATCAGATACAATATGGTGGTTTAAGTTGAAAACTATTTAGTTATGACTTTTTACAAAGCAATCAATCCCGAATGCAAAAATCGTATACAGATATTGAATGCATTATAAGGTTAAAAAAATAACTAAAATTGTGTAATGCAAAACATTACATTTGACTTAATCAACAAAAACAGAAAAATTGCCCAGTCGTAATTCATACATATCTGGCCACGTAATTGTTTTAGCTTCTTCCATATTCTGCATCCATACAATATAATTGGTGTTCTGGATTTTCTGAAACCATATTATGACATTTTGTTGGTGCACAGTCATCTGTTGTGAGACTTTGCTGCCTGAACATAATGCTAAATGAATGTATCGACGGTGAACAGAAGGAAAGCGCCAGCGTTCCACTGTACATCTGCTTTCTCCTTTGATTAACGAACAGTACAGCATCTGTGGCAGAAGCAGATGAGGTGTATCTCATATCTGTTGCGCTGTGTGCCGCCCACATTTGACTCACAGGCAGTTCGAGACGGTGGTGCCGACCGAAGACTCTGTCATTACGGAGATGACGTCCACCCTGAGGGACTGGGGCGCCATGTGGAAGCAGCTCTTTGTGGTAAATACTGTTTGGGCGAACACAGCAGTCTGCTCACAGCCAGACGCTGGCTTTGTGAACTCTGGGTGCACAGACGCTGTCGGGCGGAATATATTATTTGTATTTCAGCTTTTGTTGCGTGGGGGGAACTGTTTTTGAATTATTTTTACACCAGTTCATTATATTTGAGTGCTACAGCAATATAAACTCCTTATTAAAGCTGTATCATCAACATTTCACGTTTATCTTTCCCATCTTTTGTTTATCCCCATAGAAAAATGAAGGAGATCTGTTTCACAGACTGTGGCATGTGATGAATGAGATTTTGGACCTCAGGCGGCAGGTTTTGGTGGGTCACCTGACCCACGACCGCATGAGGGACGTCAAACAGCACATCACGGCACGTCTGGACTGGGGCAACGAGTGAGTACGGTATCACCTGTGTGATGTGTTAAAGCAACAAGGTTAATCACAAAACACCTGTCGCAAACATGTTCAGGTCATATTTCACACAAATATGAAAGAAACGTAAGTGAAATCTCAAAATCTAGCTCCACATAAGAGTTTATTAAACATCAGATAACGTGATTTATGCGAATATGAATTATATTGTATTCTGCATGATGAGATTGAAGCCTATGACTATTAAGGTTTTTTTTTTTTTTTGCATTTATTTTTTGTGACAGTTAAACGTATTTGCATTCAAATTCCTTTTACCGTAATTCAACAAAACTTGTAATTGATTTTACTGTAACTAAAGTTAAATATTGTTAATTGTTAAAATATTGTTAAAATTTCCTACTGTTTAAAAGACTAGGGTTGGTAAGGTTGTTTAATGTTTTTGATAGAAGTCTCTAATGCGTAGCAAGGCTGCATTCATTTGATTTAAAATACAGTAAAAAGAGCAACATTTTGATATATTATTGTGATTTAAAATAATTTTCTTTATTAATGTATTTTTAAATGTCATTTATTCTTGTGATGCAAAGCTGAATTTTCAGCTGAATTTTCTCCAGTCTACAGTGTCACCTGATCCTTCAGAAATCATTCTAATATGGTTCTCAAGACACATTTCTTATTATTATCAATGTTGAAAACAGTTGTGCTACTTAATATTTTTGTTAAAACATAAATTTTTTTAAATAAATACACATTATTATAAATAGAAAATTTAAAAGAGCAGTTTTTTGTAATAGAAATCATTTGTGTAAAAAAAAATCGTACTAACCTCAAACTTTTGAACAGTAGTGTAAGTATAAAGTAAAATATTTATATATCTTGGTATTATTTGTTGTACTGTATATATTTTATGCTTGTTTAAATAGAAGTAAATTAATAAATTCCAGTAATTATAATCTAATGATAATTACCACAGAGAATATTGCAAATTACATAAATACTCACACTCGTGCAAAATATCTGGACATATGGGCCTAAATGTTCTTAATTTTTTCTGTGAAATATACATTCTTATTTAATTATTGTGATTTTTGGAGGCCTAAAATGTGTCCTAGACTTTTGTTTGTGAGATTAATTTCTTCCATGAGATTTTGTCCTAACCGGCAGTCATAAGCAGTAGGATCTTGGTTTTTTGCTTGGTTTGTAATTCTGCAGTGTTTTGTTCGGTATCCCCGTCCACAGCGAAAACTCAAAATCCAGCTTCACGCAACAGTTTATTAAAAACCAGATACTTACGGATTGGTTTTGATTGTGTGTATCGTTTTCACTTGCAAGATACGGTGAAACATGTTGGACACAGTCTAGTAATGCTGTGTTATTTCCATCTTTCACAGGCAGCTGGGTTTGGACCTGGTACCCAGGAGGGAGTTCAGCATGGTGGACCCGGATGAAATCAGCGTCACCGAGCTCTACCGTCTGGTACGTCTGTTTTCCTGCCTGCCCACAACAACTGCATTCCTCAGTCTATCAAAGATTTCTCTCCATCCCCGATTTAGCCACTTAATCCCATTCTGTTAAACGCAAGAGGCCCGCGATGAAAGCCTCACGCACTCCCATCAGCTCGAGTAACAGGCCCCTTGGGGAAAATGACAGTAATTCTGAACCGCACAGACAAGATACGCCGCAGAAAATTACAGCCGTCATGGATGTGGAAGTCTGGTCGCCGGCTGGAGGATTGTTGACAGCGGGGAGTCTCTACTGTGATATAATTGAGTTATGTGGAGCATTACCTCGGCTAAACGTGACCTGAAGTGTCCCAGTACTGTCTAATGTAATGTAATAACCCTCCGCTGGCAGCCGGACTCCATTACCGCACCCTGTCTCTGTGGTTTATGTGGTGCTTTTTGCCATCAGCTGTATATGCGATGAAACGCGAGGCGGATGTTTGCAACCTGCTAATTGCTGACGGCCAAAAAAATCATTTGAACTCAAAAGTTATCACAGCTTTATTAACCGATCTTGTTTAAACTTAGAATTGGCGTTTATGATGAATGACTGTCGAAGCTAAAAAAGGAAGTTCTTGGCAGTCGTTATTGATTTATTTGGGTTATTTTGTGCTATGATGGTCTAGTTTAGCTGGGATTGAATAGCAGGCGTTTGGTGTGTGTTTAGACTGAGCTCATTACCTGTGACACATACCCAGAGTGCTGTGATGAATAGTGTGGGAGTGAATCAGGTCACACAGTCGCACCACACACACTTTAATTAGTGCTGAGGATTCAGACGTCAACACAAAAGAGTGTGTGTGAAAGAAACTGTGAGTTTGAGAGTGGGAAAACATGGCTAGAACTAAAAATGCACAGTAAATTGGACTATCTGTATCAGCCAATATAATTTTTTATTTATCAGTCTGATTTAGTCAATTTTAGAACCAGATATCATGAATGATTTCTTGTTGGTTTGGTTTGGTTTGGCTTAGTTGATTATTCATGATAATTATTACCCCCCACACTCATTATCAGAGCACAGGTGGTCTTTGTTTGGAGTTCTTGATGTGAAAGTAAGCGGTTTAGAGTCCAGAACCTTCCGTGATCTGACCCGGCCTGCCAAACAAGGAATAAAGTCTTTATTGAAATTCCAGTGCTTTATCTTTTTAGCCTATTCATTCCCATTAAAACTCTGTTATTTGAGCTTCTGTTAACGTCATTTCTCGCAAAGGAGGAACTACTGCTCTCTTTGATTGATTGATTTTTTTCTTCTTTTATTAATGTACTTCAATACCTTTGTTTTTACTCGTACAACACCTTACAGTAAGTTAAAATCTAATTTGTGGATGCACTTAAAGTATTTACCCTTTATTATACATGTAAATGTAAACATTTGTTTTAAACTCATTATATAATTTTTTTTATTGTTTATTAATTGTATCATTTTATAAGTATTATAATTATTTAAATATTTTTTCATAATTATAAGTTGTATAAAGTATAATACTATTGCAGTACTATTATTATTATTATTATTATTATTTAAAATAAATAAATAAAGTAGAATTTTTTATTTAATTTTATTTTGGATGCAATTTAATTATTTGCCTTTTTACATACCATAATTATTTTACATGTGTTAGCATTTTATTAAATGCATTATTTTAAAATTTTATTATTTATTATTATTGTTATTTATTATTTATTACATTATTATGTTATAATAATAAAACTATTAATATAGCTTTTTCTATAATTGCAAACATTTCATTGCAAATTCCTCCTTTTCTGTTTTGCTGGGGTTTGTGGGTAATATTAGCCAAAAAAAAAAAAAAATTTGCCACAATCAGCACACCACTGACATACTGTTTTTAACATATCTTGGGACATATTAATCCTAATGACTGTCTATTGACTTGAATAGTTGCTTGCAAAACTTCCAATGCTAATTATCTGCGAAATACTTAAAGGCCACATGCCATTTTTTTTAGTTTAATTGGTTGCTATCATAATAACTTTATCATAATAAGTATGATAATAAATGAAAGTGTTCATTAGTGTTTGTCTCTGTGGTCTTTATGAATACACACAGATAGAGCATATGCACTGCCCATTAGCCTTTTTATATTTCACATCATGCCTGTTCACACCTCAGTGTCCTCACACAGAGATGTGTGATCAGAATGTGGTGCGGTTCAACGAATCTACACATCCAATAGATGATGCTCCCATGTGAGAAGTGTGTTTGTTACACAACAACGGTGTGAATGTGCACTTAAAATAAGCATGTGTGCAGTGATGTGCATGTGAATGTGAGTGCGTGTGCATTTGACATTGCACTCTGTGGTGTCATTGCAAAGAAAGGAGCATATTAACTGAAACAAATTAGATTTGGCTGGCTGTAAAGCAGTCGTGCTGTGACCATGGAGCCGCTGGAATTCAATGAAATATTCAGTGCATTTCTGAAGATGTTATGCACAGCTTTTCCTGCTTTTCTTGGTGTTAAAAAAGAGAAACGCAATGCAAAGTTAGATCTTTACATGCATTGTGTTGCTGGGTCACTTTTATGTCTTGCTTTATTGAAAAATGGATGCATCACATGTAATGATCTGTGTGTGTTTGGATGGATAGATGGAGAATCGGCACAGAAAGAAGGAAACTCCGACTCCTGTCAGCACACATCACCTGTTTGTCCATCCGAAGAGTCTGATGAGCTCAAACCTGGGTGAAGAGCTGGAGGTCTTCTTCTTCATCTATGATAGTCGAGAGAACAAACCGCTCAGGTGAGTGTCTAACCAATCATTTATACATGCTTATAAATGTATTAAAATGTAGATTTACACTCGTACACAACTGTTCAAATGTTTGGGGTCAGTAAGTTTTTAAAAATGTTTTTGAAAGACGACTCTTGTTCTCACCAAGGCTGCATTTATTCGATCAAAAATACAGTAAATGTAGTAATATTAAAAAGTAGTAAAATATGAATACAATTTAAAATAACTGTTATACATTTGAATATATTTTTAAATGTAATTTATTTCTGTGATGCAAAGCAGAAATTTCAGCATCATTACTCCAGTCTTCAGTGTCACATGATCCTTCAGAAATCATTCTAATATGCTGATTTGATGCTCAAGAATCATTTCTTTCAATTATCAACATTGAAGGATTCTTGAGGATTCTTTAATGAATAGAAAGTTCAAAATAACAGCATTTTTAATGGAAGCCTGTTTCCGCTACAGAATAAAAAAAAATTAAAAAGGTAATTGAGACTTTTGCCCACTTTCTGACTTTTTCTTACGAAAGTGACATTTTTTTCTTGCTATTCTGAGTTTGTATTTAACAATTCTGAGAAAAAAAATTGCAAGATATAAATTTAAAATTGAGATTTTATTTTATTGCAATTCTGACTTTTTTTTTGAATTATGAGTTTATGTCTTGCAGTTTAGATTTTTTCTTCCCGCCATGGAATAAAAAATGTAAAAGGTAATTTCGACTTTTTATCTCACAATTCTGACTTTTTTCCTGCAGTTGCGAGTTTATATCTCACATTTGTTTCTTTGTATCACGCAATTCTGCATTTATATCTCATAATTCTGAATTCTATAAACTCTATAAAAAATGTCTGAATTGTGAGATAAAAACTCGCAGTTACAGTTTATTTATTTATTTTAATCCCGTGGCCTAAACAAGCTTTCATAGCGATTTAATAATAAAAAGTCTTCCTTTCGTGGAAAAATATCCTATTTGTATCCAGGATGTGCTCGTCAATCATAACCTCATTACGTGTACTTCCTCCTGTGTTTGTTCCTGGCCGCTGCCAGACAGATGAAAAACAAATTAACAGTTTTCATCAGGGAAACACACCTGCAATGGAGGCTGTGAGAGTCTACAGACGGTTGTGTGTGTACCTGTTTATCTCATCTAATGGTTAATGACAGACTGTAACTGTCTCAGCAGCTGCTCGCTGGTGTTTGCTCACATTGTCTCAGTGTTTTCCCTCTGTCCCTCTGTTCATTGATTGAGTTTTTTCCCTCAGTCCCTGTCTGTAGTCTTGAAGGAGAATATTAATGTGGCTCTGATCCATCACCGATTTCCCTACCTGCTTAGTTGGCTGGTTTCCAGTTAATTATTCGTCTTTTTTGTTTCTACATGGACTGGAGGCTCCCGTTTTTTCAGCCTCTGCCAGACTCGCCTGCGGCTTCAAATCTGCTCAATGTCCATCCTGACAGCTCCTGTGGATTTAATCACACTGCTGCCCAGATTCCCCAGAATCACTAGGGCTGCATCCCAATTTGAATATTTTACACTAAATGCATTTAATGTGCTGTTACAGACATTACTGCACATTACTGACAATAGTACATACTTCTGAGTATGGAATGAACATCTACATTTATGCATTTAACATTAATATTTGGAGATATACCATGTTGTTGCATACTAGTATTACTTCTGTTTATTTATAACTTATTTCATTTTTATTTCTACTTGTCTGTAATTTAGCATCTTGCTAAATTTACTTTTTTAAATTATTACTTTTAGGTTAGTAGTCTATTTTTTATTCTACTTTTAAAAAATTAAAATCATATTATTATGTTAATTTATTATTATGTTAATTTATTATATACAGTTTTCTTATTTATAATAATAATTTCTTATAAAGTATATTTGTATCATATAATATTAATTTATTATTTGTATATACTATTTTATTATTATTATTTATAATTGTTTATTTTTTTATAATACATTTTATTTGAATTTTATTATAATTATACAGTATATTTGTATCATAATATATAAATTTATTATTTTTCTGTACAATTTTATTATTATTTATAATGCGTTTGTAAAAATAAACAAAAAGGGTTTCTAATTTACAAACTAAAAGATAAATACTTATTTTATTTTTATTTTATTTTATTTTAATTAGAATTTCTTATAAAGTATATTTGTATCATATTATATTCATGTATTATTTCATATACTATTTTATTTTTATTTTTTATAATAAGTTTGTAAAAATAAACAAAACAATTTTTCTAATTCACAAAATAAAAGTTGAATTCTAATTTTATTTTATTATTATTTTATTTTTTTTACATGTACTGATCCTGCAGCATTTCTTTGGCTGGAGTGATTCAGTATCAGTCCTGGTGTTAGGCAGCTCATGTTACCAGTTATACCCATTTCGTCTAGCAGCGCACGGACAGCGAGTGCTGTTACAAAAAGCCAAGGATGCTGTTTGTATTAATTTTTCTTTAGACAGTCTGAGCGCTGCAACCAAAAGCCCCTTGTGTCAGTGTGTGAAGTGTGTGTGAAAGCATCTATCTGTGTTTCACTTCATTTCTGCCACAGGATGTGTACAAAGTGCTGATTGACAGCCTTCTGGGTAACGGCTCCCCCTCTGTTCCCACGGGAGCGTTTTGTGGCACGGTTAATATATCCACTCAGACATACAGGGATCACTTTTCCGGCCGTGTCAATTTATCCAGATTTATCCGGAGGGAGACGGGGGCTCGTATCGGGTCCCATTTGAACTTGTCGTGTTACAATCCCTGGCATCAAGGGAGGAAATATCAAATTCTGGGGTGAGAGGGAAAGAAAGCCTCCCATCTGTATGTTATGGAAATGTTGGCGTGATATCTGCCGATAGCAATATCCCAGTGTCCATAGACGCCTCTTCAGAAAGCCATCGCAGCCCTGCAGCTGCATGTCAAAGGCCAAAACAGCCTTTGTGCTCCTGCCTCTGGTGATGGGATGCTGGGATCGCAACAATGCACAGTTAATTACGTGGTGTTTGTGTGAAGGCCGGTTTAATACAAGTCCGTGCATGAATGTGTGCGTATCCTGAGCGGAGTGGACTCGCAAGTTTTGTTCGATTTCTATTGCCAGCTATTGTTCCTGTTGGGGTTCATTTATAGGGCTGCTCGTCTTTTTATCATGGAGCTGTGAAAGTCACGTAACTGGATTATGAGTTTGGTGGGTAAAGGACACGAGTGTCTGTCCCGTTATTCTCTTGTATTGGCAGCTAATTTAATACATTTTTTGTTTTAGTGGTTTGTTTGTTTTGTGTGTGTGTGTTTTATTTGATGATTTGATTGTGAATTCATTTGACTTGTACTTTGTTTTTGTTTTACAAAACATGATTATACCATAATATTTATCCAATATACATATTATGACCATGGTACATGTACAAAAGCATGGTATTACTATGATTATTGTCCCAAATGTATATTTAATTTTGTACATGTCCAAAAACCTGGTAATAACAAAGTGCATTACCAAAAAACTATTATTACTGTTGTACATGTCCAGAAACATTGTAGTAGTGCATATAAAAAAACAAACAAACAAAAAGTATTACTCCAGTGCAAAAAACTTCATTGTGTTAATATTCTAAAATATTTTATTTTATTTTATGGTATGGTATGGTTTGGTTTGTCACTTGTTGTTTTGTTTTAATAGCATGCTTTACGTAACCAATTCTTAGTTTCTTGACAGTTATGATCTGTTATGATAAACCGTTTTATGTATGAGATTTTGCTCGGTAAATATTTTATTAGGCAAGTGAATTTAAAGGGGTCATATGATGTTGCTAAAAAGAACATTATTTTGTGTATTTGGTGTAATGATATGTGTTTAAGGTTCAAAAAACACATTAATTTCTACATACTGTATATTATTGTTTCTCCTCTATGCCCCGCCTTTCTGAAACATGTCGATTTTTACAAAGCTCATCGGTCTGAAAAGCGAGGTGTGCTCTGATTGGCCAGTGCTGATCCAGTTTGTTGTGATTGGCCGAATACCTCAAGCGTGTGACGGAAATGTTACGCCTAGGGATGCACCGAAATGAAAATTATTAGCCAAAGCCGAACAAAATGAAACACTGGGCCGAATACCGAATACCGAACACGATTTTTCGCATTTTGCCATTTGTTTTTCACCATTGCATAAATTAAATAACCAAAATGTGCTTTTTAAATAAAAAATCACTTACAAAACAACAATTTTAAAATATTTACTTAACACTGACTGAACATTTTTTTAACATTCTAGCAGACATTATACCATCAAAGCAAAATTTAACTTAAGTTAGTAAAATAGCCTAATATTTTGGGGCCATTTTTGAGACTTGAATCAGGCATGTATTTTTTACTGTACAAATAAAGGCAGCCTTGCTGAGCAGAAGAGAATTCTTTTAAAACATTAGAATATATTACAGATCCCAATTTGAACACTGTGTGAATGTTATAAAATAAATGTATTAATAGAGCTGTTGTAGGATAATGATTATTATCATTATTATTGTCTTGCTTTTTTATTTTGTTTTACAGAACAATAGTAAAATTACAATACTGTTATTTATGAATGTTGATGGAGTTGTTGCTTTTTCTCAGCTTTTATTTTGGCAGAAACCCACAGGAAGATCTCAGTGCTTCTTTTTGTTAACAGCAGCATGCAGCTTTATAAATGATTCTCATTACGAATTTGGGAAGATGTTTGTCGCACGTATCACATTGTCACATGCCTTTAAAAAAATTCACAAAAATTTTTCGCTTATTCGGTCGAAACACCGAAAGAGATTTTTTTGCTATTTTCGGCCAAATGATTTTGGTTGCCGAACATTGGGTGCATCCCTAGTTACGCCCCTTACCATACTGTGATGCCGTGTCCCGGCCGAGCGACGAGACAAAAACATTAAAACAAAATTTAAATCGCATCATATGACCCCTTTAGCAGCATTGTGTTTGCTGTGCCAAAAATGATACATGCAGTATTTTGTTCTCACAGACTTTAAAAATGCAATTACTTGAGAGCTATGTATTTTTAAACAGCAGAATAAACTCATTGTATAAACTGAAAGCATTTCTCTTGTTCACTTTCTGTTTTACAGTGAAAGGTTCTTTGTTAAACTCAATAAAAACGGTCTGCCCAAGTTTCCCGAGAAGACTGAAAGACAATGCACACTTTTTGTGGTGAGTGTTGAGATGAAATCACTGCCAGAGTAATCATGCAGAGTGATCTGTGCTGATTAACTGTCGCTGATGTTTTATTCAGGATCTGGGCAGCGGCGACCTGAGAAAAGACGTGTATATTGTGGTACACATCATTAGGATTGGTAAAAGCCGATATTTCTCCACTGAATAATTACTGATGCCAAAGAGCCTGCAGGCGTGTGATGAGCACTGATTGTTTTGTGTGTGTAGGGAGGATGGGTGCAGGAGAGAAGAAGAACACGTGTAATGTACAGTACAGACGTCCGTTCGGCTGTGCTGTGGTCAGCATCGCTGATCTTCTCACTGCTGACTCCAAAGATGACCACCTGCTGAAGGTCTATGCGTAAGTGACCCTACACACACACACACACACACACACCCCAGGACCGTGAAATCAACCAAATCTGACTTCCTGGCATCAGACTTACTCATTCCCCTGATTGGTCAGATTAGATGAGGTTGCCTAGTCAACATCATGTTCATGCTCAATAATCTTCTTCTATGAATATAAGGGAATTTAAATAGTGTGATGTCCAGAAAAAAATTACATTTGCCATGAAAATAATTTTGGATGATGACAATGCATGAAACACCTAAATAATTAAAGATGTGAAAAAATAAAAAGTAATGTACTGAACAAATCATAAATGTTATTCATTTCATTTCAAACAGTCAGCCAGTGATTTTATTCAGAAAGCTTAAGGATTTGTTAAGTAAATTATTAACATGAGAACTTTGAGGGTTTGGATATAGAAAATTGTATGTGCAGTTTTCTTTATACGTAAAATGTATCTCCTTTTAAATATGACTAAATTTTTTTTTATCTTTTGTAAAAGGTTTAACCCAGTTTGTGCCATGAAAACAGTATTTGATGATAACATGGCATGAAACACCAAAATAAATAAATAAATAAATAAAGGTGTTTAAAGTAAAAAAATTAAAAAATATAAATATTATAATTCTAAAATTTAAAAAATAATCTAAAAATTAGAATTCTAATGAATTATATTTTCTATTTAATAAAGATAATCAGCCAAAAACATTATTCAGAAAGCTTTCTATAGAATTTATTTAGTCATTTGTCAACAGGAAAACTTTTTTAATCTTTGTTTTTTTTTTAAATCTCGAGTAGACACTCTTTATATATAAAATTTGTCATTTTAAATGACGAAAATTCTTTTTAAAACCAGATTTAATTGCCATGAAAATAGTCTTAGATGAGTTTTGTTTCATTTAATTTAAATTATTTTTTATTTTATTTTTTATGTTTTGTTGTTGTATGTTTTGTTTTGGGTAGCAAATGTCACTACTTAATAACTTTCCTTAAGAAAAACAAAGTTGTCTTTGTCCTTATTTCTATAGCTTATTTTCTCTATTCCACAATCAGATTTGAGGATGTTTTCTGTGTTAATGCACATTTTTGTATGCAATAAAGTATAATGTTTGTAATCTAAAGAGTTGGTACCTGAAATACAAATGGAAATCTGTCTCTACGATCTGTAATATTGTGGCCTACTTTGCACTGGACGGCAGACAGATGTGTTTGGCTCTAGATCTTTGGTTCACTCACACATTATCAGCTGGCTCGTGGCCAGTCCTTCAGGCTGTTAATATGATTGCTGTTCTTTATATCTGTGCGTCTCTGTGATTGAATCCAGTGCTCTGATTGTCCTTGTTTTTTTGCAGCTGCAACACAGAGAGCGACTGGAGTCAAATCCACGACAACATCATTAAGAAAGTCAACTCCAGATACAACCTCTCAGGATCCAACACAGGTAACGAAGCTGTCACAATTCAAATACTGAAATCCGTTTTCATAAATGGGGCAGAAATTACCATTAATATAAGTCTGGCCACGTTTACATATCAGCGTTTATTTTAATGTCCAGTGACTTGGTTACATGAAAAGAGGTTAGCCAATCATTTAAGAGGTCATTTGCATATATTCTTAAAGATACAGTAACAGCCTTCTTTGTTGTTAAGGTCAGAGAGAGGCTGGAAAATGGTCATGAAAACCCCAATTAAGACTGTTTTAGGTGCATGAAACTTTGATAAACATTATAAGTGGACTTCAGGGAAAGTAAAACCTTCAAAAGTGTATTTTCCCCTTAAATTAAATACCCCCATTTTCAGCATAATGCTTGTGTACGCGGTTCGCCAGCAGTGGTATCTGGCTGTGTTATAAAGATGCTCTGCTCTCCCAGAAACCTCATTTGCATGATGACTCAAAGTTAATAATTTTAGATCTGAAGAAGCATGAGAAGACCCTCAGGGTGGCTTATCCAAACAGCTACACATGGTAATAAATTTCATTCCGGCAGGGAAAAAAAAAAGATATGCACATAAAGAAGCACAAGCATCCAGATGGTAGATTTGCAGCTTTTTTGTGTTTTCTGCGTTTTCTGTGAAGAGCTGGTAATTGTACGCAGCACCTCCACATCCGTTGTTGATTAATCATATCGCAAAAGCAGGGAATACATTAATTATGATGACTGACTCATAGTCATTTATTCACCAAACAATGAACAGTAATGCTCACAAAAGATGCATCTTGCTAACTTTCAGATTTTATTCAAATGAACGAAGATATGATTTCTGCTAATGTATGAAATTATTCAATGCAGGTTTGTTAAACGCCTGCTCATGCAGTGGAAATGAGATCACATCCTTACTATGATACACACTCATCAGCTGTGACGTTTCTATTAGATTAATCTCTACCACATCAGTTACGCTGAGCAGAACAAAGAAACAGCTTTATCAGGACCTTATTAAACATTATGATAATGGTCTGAAAATAAATTAACTGTACTTGGACTGTAATTATAGAGCAATGTTACATTAGAGAGCTCTGAATATGTATAGTACTTGTCAAAAAAATCTAAATTTTGTTAATTTAGAGCCAATTGAATTGAATTGAATTAAATTGAATTGAATTGAATGATTTCATTTAATTTAATTTAACGAATTGAATGATTTTTATTTTTTATTTTTTTATTTAATGTTATTTTATTATTATTTTTATTTAAAATGTCTTAATTGGAGCCAATCTGAAAGGGCTTAGCATTTTAATTTAATTTATCATTTATAATTTATTTTCCTGTATTTAAACCTAATTTTATTTGATTAACATGTTTAAGAAAAATATTGCCTTAATTGGAGTCAATTTTAAAGGGTTTAATTTTAAATTTAATTTAATTTGTTTACTTTTTAAATTTATTTCATTTACATTTTTATTAAAAATAAAAAATTGCATCATTTTTTTTTATTAAAAATTGCCTTGATTTTATACTTAACCTTGATATCCATAAATGCATCTTACTTATACACTCTAAAAAATGCTGGGTTAAATACAACCCAGTGCTAGGTAAAATAGGGACAAACCCAGCAATTGGGCTGTTTTGACCCAGCGGTTGGGTTAAATGTATAACCCAGCCTTCTGGGTAGTAACCCAACCACTGGGTCAAAACAACCTAATTGCTGGGTTTGTCCCTATTTTACCCAGCACTGGGTTGTATTTAACCCAGCATTTTTAAGAGTGTACAGTGACTTAAATATTTTATGCATTATACATTCAAATCATTTGCATAGAACATTTTATTAATCATTGTCTTCTAATTGCTGAGAAGTAAATACATGCTAGTAACGTAACATTTCTATTTGGGTAGGTTTAGATTGGCTCAGTTCCCATGTGCACGCTCTGAATCTGTCTGTGTGATTAATGGAGACGTTGTGCGAGCTCAGTAATTGAATAATTCTCCAATAGTACTTCTTTGACCCTGTGCCATCAAACAGCGATTATACAACATAAAGCCGTTGCCATTGAGTATGTGCCAGATGAGGTTTATGATCAACCTCGGCGCTGCTTCAGAACATCATTAAGAGCTGCAGGAGCACAGACCCTGATGCATGTTTGCTTAATCATTTTACCGTCATGTACCGATGGCCTATTGGATTGTTTTCCATCCTTAGCGGCCCAGTTTTTCAAAGCTCAGCAAAACTCAGACCTGACTGCTCAGACGACAAGAAAAACATTGGAAAACAGGTTAAAAATGGCCGGAAATAGTTTTTAGTCATATTTTGAATTCGTTTTTTTTTTTTTCCACTTTTAAATTTAAAGAAAATGTTTAATTTAAATAATTTCATAATAAAAAAAAGATTTTTTTTACATATTTAATTGAATTTAATGTTTATTTTAATTTCAAGTAACTAAAATACTTTCAATAATTTTAGTGGTTGTTTTTATCTATGTTTTATGGTTTTAACTGTAATAACTCTGTAAGGAGATGATTTCCTGTAAAGTTGCGGACGGTACTTTGCATGGATCATCTCATTCATTTTCATGTGGTTAGAAATTTTACAAGAGGCAGTTCTGGGCTGATAATGTGTTTTTCGGTACATCACATCATTTTCACATCATTACATGTGAATATTCATTACCATTGTCACAAAAGAAGCGCAGTTTATCCAAATGCTCATTTGTACACTCGGATATTAACCAGAAACACTGCCAAAACTCTTCTGGACAGAATACAATTAGGCAAAATTGACATTTATCACAACCTCTCAAAACAAGTGAGTCGAGTGTGGGAGGATTATTATATTCAGAGCTTTATAATGAATATTCATGTGCTCGCCAATGAATATAGTGAATATTCATCATGTGCAGGTGCAAAGTTTTCTCAGTGTCGGTCTGTTGGGTAAAGGTCCATTCATTAAGTGATTGATTCAAGAAAGCTGTGAATAATCATCTGTAATTAGCTCATATTATGCTGTGTTTGTTGGAAAATTAATATGAGTTTGGATGTGTGTGTTCAATCCAGGTCTGGCGGTGGCGCTTCAGTTGCTGCATGGCGACATCGAGCAGCTGCGGAGAGAATACATGGTGCTCTTCACCAGAGGAGTGTCCATTACCAAAAAACTAGGCTTCTCTGATGTCATCATGCCAGGTGAAAATCATTTTTGCTTAAAAAATCAACATATGCTTTGCTTGTATGCTTATATACACAACCATTCAAATGTCTGGGGTTTGGGAAGTTTTTCAGTGTTTTTAAAATAAATCTACTTTACGCTCACCAAGGCTGCATTGATTTGATTAAAAATACAATAAAAACAATAATAATGAGAAATATTATTACAATTTTAAATACTTGTTTTCTGTTTGAATGTATTTGAAGATGTCATTTATTTCTGTGATGCAAAGCTGAATTTCCAGCATCATTACTCCAGTCTTCAGAGTCACATGATCCTTCAGAAATCATTCTAATATGCTGATTTAGTGTTAAAGTAACATTTATTATTATTATCAATGCTGAAAACAGTTGTGCTGCTTCATATTTTTGGAAATCCTGATATATTTTTAGGATTCTTTGATCAATACAAAGCTTAAAAGAAAAGCATTTATTTGAAATGGAAATACATTTGTAACATTATAAAAGTCACTTTTGATCAATTCAATGCATCCTTGCTGAATAAAACTATTATTATTATTTTTAAATAAAATTTTACTGACTTTTGAATGGTAGTGTAACTTTAAGAAATAAAATGACACATTAAGCTGAGATTACATTCTCTGTAATATTACTTATGTAAACATTTGACTATCAGCATAAAGTCTGGTCCACTAAATAAATTAATAAATGAGTAGTGTTTTGACAAGCTATCAATATTAAACATCTGCAGTGCACAAAATGCATTAAAAAACTGAATTTGTATCTTCACCATTTAAAATTACTTAAAATAATTGATAACAAATCACCTCCTCCATAAATCTCTAATTGTAGACTGCAGAAATTTTCTCCAAACTAACACAATTATGGGAAAATATGTGTATAAATTGAGATTTAAGTTTATTATATTCGGTAATATCCAAGCATGCTCAAGAAAATAAATTAGATATTTATTTAGAATTTAGAGTTTTTTTTATTTTTTTTATTTAGAGTTTATTTTCTCGAATAAAACTTTTGATGCTATATAATTTAGCCTCACTCTACTTTGATCTTCTTTCCCATCAGACTGATAAAATTCAGTGTACCTTGACTCCCATGAATTCCACAAAGCCACCAATCAGACTCTAACTTGCAAGTGCGAGAAGCTCTCGCCATTTTTGTGTGCGGCATTCGTCAGGCAGTCTGTGTGCATCTGAGGCTATTTTCTCCTTCCGTCTTTCCATTACTGACCCAGATGTTCTGGTTGCACAAGCAGTCTGTCTGCTGCCTCCTGGATGAATGTGCCGTCGCTGGCAGTAACCGTGCCTTATGGCTGCCCGATTTATTATTAGTTCTTTGCTGTAGGCTGATCTTCTCTTCTTTCTCAGTGTGTGTTCACATATAGTCAAGTTTCCATCTTCCAGGAAACTCACTTAGATTTTTTTCTGATTGTTGCTACAGCAACTGTTATTTGGCCATTAGTTGCATGACTACTGGTTTGAATTTGGGTCTTGAAATAGGACTGCACACACTTAAATGCATTACACACACACATACAGGAACCCACACTTCCTCTGCTCGGTGGCACAAGTTCTTTGTCCCCTTCGTTTGCATGCTTTAAAAACGTGACCTGCAGCTCACAGTGCATTTTAAAACCATGCTGCATGGAACAAAGCATGCAACTGTGCATGCATCTACATATATCTTTAGTGTCAGGAAATGGACCTGTGCTTGTTTCCTTGACATGAGTGATACATCATATAAATGTTCATTACCTACTTTTGGCCATAACATTTGCATTTGCACCAATGTGAAAATGTGCATGCAGAGCTGTTGAGGTGAGGGTGTCGAAGCACGGGTGGACCATGAAAAATGGCAAGGTGTGAGCATTTAAATACACTTCCTGTGTGATAGAGAATGTGTTCATTTGTTAGCGGCCTTATCCTTGAGTCACAGGATGTAACCTGCTGAGGACATTTGGGAGAGATGAACTTTGTGTTCGTTCTCTTCTGTCATAATCATGATAAAACTTTCCATGTTTTATCATTAGCTCATGGTGCTACACCTGAAGTGTATAGTATTAAACCTGCAACATTTTCAAATCACTCAGCTTGTTGAGGAGAGATGTGTTTTTGCGTTTCTGTTCAATCGATGCGAAGTGCCTTTTCATTCCAGAATCAATTAGACTTCCAGAAACATGAGAAAAAGCTTGAGTCTTATTGGTCTGTGGGTTTTTCTGCTGAGCAAACAGCATAAAAATCAATGTACATGGTAAAAAGTCGTGAAGGCATCCATTGGGACTTATGGTTTCATTTTAACATTGAAAATCCATGCTAGAAATGCACTCTTGGTGCAAATCTTGATAAGGGTTCTGGATTGCAAACAGTTGTAGGTTCGATCCCATTTGAAGGTCCTGTATGTGTGTGTAATGCATTTAAGTGTGTGCAGTCCTATTTCAAGACCCAAATTCAAACCAGTAGTCATGCAACTAATGGCCAAATAACAGTTGAAAATAGCAAAAGCAGATAACTCAAACAGTCGTTTTTGGCAAAAGCAGATAACTCCACATTTCATGTTTTAGAGTAAAAGAAAACACTTGTTTAATCTTTGTAATCTCCTCAGATGACAATGTAGATGCCTGACAAATGTTGTTGTTGTTGTGATCATAAACTGTATGGATGTTATTACACGCAATGCACGGAGCTTTTCCCTCACCATTGTAACGCGCTGCTTTTGCAAGGTTCCATGAAAACGTTTCAGCTTTTATTTTCCTTTACGCCCTGAAGAAGGTATCACAGGTTCATCAAGTTCGTCGAAATGATCCATCCTCGATCACTTTTAGTCAGTTTTGACGAAACTCCTCTCAGCTAGCACGCCTTTTCAAAGTGAAAGTAGCCTTGTCACCTGACCAAAATAAATAATAATTTTGTGCCTAAAAAGTGCCTAAAACTTTTAACAGTACTGTAGCTTTGCAGGTAGGTTTCTTGAAGCATCTTAGACGTTGCCACAGTGCTTCTGGATTTAGTCCGTCTCAGTTTGTTCTGTTTCTTCATGTCATTCCAGACAGACTGGATGATGATGAGTTCATATCTCTGTGAGGAGCAATGGCTGTTGTCAGACTCCTTGTGCAAGCAAAAATCTCACTGGATTATTACAATTAATGGCAAAATGAATGTTTGGAAATGTAAACTGATATTTCCTACTGAAATACTACAGCAAAAGATAGAAATAACTGACTTAAAACCATTTTTAGCTGGGGAAAATACTAGTGTTCTAATAATTTTGGCCACCACTGTGTATCTTTTTAAAAAATGTTATAATGCGATTATAAGTGTGTTTCTGTGTGTGTTTTTGACTTTTTATTCAAAAATGTATAATTTATATAATTTATTATATTACTGATAAGCTAATCTCTGCTCTCCCAATTTGTTGTGTTAAATTTTGATTCAACACCATTTTTTTCACATATCTTGTTCTCTTGAAGGTGAGATGAGAAACGATCTCTACATAACGCTGGAGAAGGGCGAGTTCGAGAAGGGAGGGAAGAGCGTGGCGAGGAACGTAGAGGTCACCGTCTACGCGATTGACGCCGATGGACAGATCCTCAAGGTTTTTCAACTCATAAATGTGTCCTGTTCCCCTTGCTTTCTTACGAGTACAGACAATCTAGGATACCAGAACTAAAAACACATTGCTAAGGTAATATGATAATATGAAACAGCATTAAAGATGTCAAGCTCATCTAAATCTTGCATATAGTTTTCTCACAGTCATGGCTGACAAACAGCCATCGAGGTGGAGCGGTGAGAGGTTTGTGGTTTTCAGTATCCTCTCACACTCAGTCTGTGTCGACTGTGTCTCTCTGCAGGGGTTTGTGGCCGTGGGCTCGGGCGAGCCAGGCGGAGACGAGTATCACACCTTCGTGCTTTACCACAACAACAGCCCACGCTGGGCGGAGCTAATCAAGCTGCCCATCCCAGTCGACATGTTCCGGGGCTCTCATGTCCGCTTCGAGTTCCGCCACTGTTCCAGTAAGTCCGACGCGACTGATGAGAAAACCATTGTTCTTTTTGTTCCTCGCTTTAGGATGCATTTCATATTCACATAAGACTGAGGCAAGACAGTATTTCCCACACTTAATAGATGCGGAGCTTGAGAGAGGAAGTTAAATTGGCTGAATTTCAAATGAGTGTTGGAGAGTGCAGGAGATGTAGCAGTGAACCATGTGAGTCAGAGCATCACTAATGGGCACTTAATATGGGCAAGTATAATCCAGAAGTGGAGATCGCCAAGGGGTATTTTTGGGTCTTTTTTTATGCAAATAATTTCCAGTTAAGCATATGTGCTTAATTCAGTGCTGTATTTGTCAGATGTATAGACTTCCTGTACACCAAAACACCTCAAATAATCTGAAGGACATCATTCATTGATCTATTGACCAGTATGAATTTTTGTGCTGGTCCAAATTGGTTTATGCTAGTTTTGGTGCTGGTATAGGGTTGAGAATCAAGGTTTTTATTCAGAATAATGATGCTGGAGCCAAATGATTGGTTGATGTGGCTTTGGTTTTGTGCAAATGAAATGACACCATGATGTCACTGGCCATGTGCGGCCTATTTTTATTCTTATGTTATTCAGTAGTTGACTTTTGAATGTGTGAGACATTGTTTTTTGTGATTTTTCCTGTCTAAAGACACTTATGCCTCTGTAAGTGGCATGACTCAAAGAGAAAAATAAATCCAAAAGTTCGGGTTTAAGCAAGATAACAAAGACAGTGACGTTATGAATAAATGTAAAAAGGTAATAAGCCATTATTTAAAAAGTGTAAACAATTCTACATTTGTAAATTCTATGAATAAATAATAAAATAATATAAAATTATTATTTTAATAATTATAAAATAATAATGCTAAATATTATTTTTATTTAATATTAATTAATTGTAATATATATGTACACATACATATATATGTATATTTTACATTATATATATATATAATATTTTCCAAATATTGTACATTATCCATTCTTTCTTTCTCAGAATTACGAAAAGACTGGATAATGTAGTCATTAATGTATATGAATTGTTAATTTAATCATTACATTTTGATGACTGGTTTACCAAGCATGTATTGCTCATTAACACCAGCATCCAAAACTCAACATATTTTCTGTATGGCTGTGACTATTTTTCCTGATATTGTCAAGAAGGGTCACAGACATGTAGTGGCCTAAAGCTCCAGATTTAGTTCCAGCATAAAAACTGTATTTTCTTGTTAAGGAGTTTTAAATGGATTTGGCTTGTAATATACAGTGTTTGTGTTCTCCAGCAAAAGACAAGGGGGAAAAGAAGCTGTTCGGCTTCTCATTCGTTCCTCTAATGCAGGAAGACGGGCGGACTCTGCCCGACGGCACCCACGAGCTCATCGTTCATAAGGTACAGCTGTCAAAATCTCTCGTTGGCTTTTCTGCAACAAATGCAATTTAAGAGCAACTGTATGTCAAATGACAAATTGTCCTGGCTGACACTTATTTCATTCTGCATGCTCCTTGTTGCCTCGAAAAGTCCTGAATTCAAAAAGTGGCTTCTCATTAAAAAGTGTAAGAGTTAAATAACCGTGTCGGAAAACACATCCCTGTGGCACACCCAATTTAACAGCACGCTTCGGGCACAGCTCTGGTAATTGCAGACCGTGGAAGTGTTTGTGGATTTAACAGGCTTAAAAGAGGTCACAAACATACATGCACAGACACAGAGAGCTGCTGTTATTCGTGTCATGTTGTACTGTCACCCCTCACACTCCATTAGTACATCAGTTCATTAAAGAATCTTTTGCTGAACAAATAAAAGACTATAATAATAGTCGAGGATTTACGAATGGCCCATTTTTGCAGCTTAGTCATGTCAATGTAATGTAATTTTAAAAATTGCAATTAAAAACCAGTCTAACGTATGTCCCATTTAAATCTAACCATGTACAACCTATAAAATAACTTTTATTTGTGTATATGAATCAATGTGTGTAGCCTCAGGGAGGCTTAGCCCATAAACAGGCCCAGTATGATGCTGTGAGCTTCTCGTGGCCTATTTATGCCCACTGAAATAGGCCGGTTTGCTCCAGCGTTTACACACATGTCTCGACGTAACACTAGAGATCACTGAATCCTGTAATATTGCACTGAGCTATGTCACTGGTCATGTACGACAGCAGTTCTGCTGACCTCTTACAGTACGTGTAGCAGTTTGAGCAAGATAAATGATAGAAAAAGAAATGTCAGCTGTTTGCATTTCTGCTAGAGGCAACAGAACTGCTGACTGAATGTGGCGCGATTGCATGATGCTAATTAAAGCAATAGTTCAGCCAAAAATAAAACTAATCTGTCATCATTATACTTACCTTCGTTACAATCCCATATGACTTTGTGCTTTCTGTCGAACACAAAAGAAGTTTTGCAAAATGTTAAAGGTTTCCTTGAAAAAAAAAAAAAAAAAAAATTTATTATATATACATTTTTTCCCCTAGGGGAAGCTTATACGTACATACAGTATATGTCTATATATATGATTAAATGTACATTAAGTACATTTAGTAACCCATTATGTAAAAAAAAAAAAAAAAATTCATAAATACATTAGTTTAAAATAATTACAAATTTAAATATTAAATAATAATATTTTAAATAAATAAATTATCAGAAATGTATATGGAAAATAATTCTGATTTTACTATTTAGCTGTGGACATTTTTGTTTCAATATTTGTTTATATATTTATGGGTTAGGGTAAGCCCAACAATGATATTGGTATGATTTTTTTGTTTATATTCATAAATGAATAATAAACCTACACATATTTATACATGTATAAACATATAGACCTATATATTTATATATGTTCATTATGTAGCATATGGTTGGGGTTACCTTAACTTATAAACATGTATATAATTTAATTATAAATATAAACAAAAATAGTCATGTTTTTATATTATTTATTTATTTATTTATTTTTAGATTATATTGCTTAATAATTTTAATATTTCACAAGAAATGACACTGCTAAATAGTAAAATAAGAATTTTCCATATATATTTCTGATAATTTATGTATTTAAAATATTATTTAATATTTAGTTATATAATTATTTTAAATGAATGTATTTGATTTTTGCAATTTATTTTTTTGTTTATATTTATAATGAAATTATATACCATATGCTACATACTGTACATATATGAATATATAGGTCTGTATGTTTATACATGTATAAATATGTGTAGATTTATAATTTGTTTAATCATATATCAATATTTCTTTTTGGTATTCTTTTTGCAAGAATTCATACATATATATTTGTTTGTTTGGTTGTGTTATGATGTGTTAATTATTAAATTGCATATATTTAAAAATAGGATAAAACGGTTGTCAGGATCTTTTTCATGCATGTTTTCCAGTGTGAGGAGAACGCTAACCTGCAAGACTGTGCTCGCTACCTCAAACTGCCCTTCTCGAAATCAAATCTGCCCGGCAACAACCAAACTATGAAAGGCACTAAGGAATCCCTATGGATCACATCATTCCTCTGTTCTACCAAACTCACTCAGAACGGTAATGTGTGTGTCTCTTTGTACAGGATATGATAGGACAAAACGTCCCTAGTTGGAAGTTTTCTTGGCATGATGCATCACAGAACATGGGAACATTTGGGTATCTGGCATGAAGTTTCACACACTGATTGCTTATTGGCTGTTTCCTGCAGGTGACATGCTGGACTTACTGAAGTGGAGAGCCCATCCGGAGAGAATCAGCGACAGCCTGTCTAAACTCAAAGAGATCGATGGCTCAGAAATAGTTAAGGTCAGCTGCCCTTCACAGCCTTGCTGTTGGTTAATGAACCTGTCAATCACAGTGATCTTTCCCCTAATTGGTGCATATTTACTAATAAAGTCAAATATCTCGAATCAGTTTTTACAAGATACACTGGACACGCTTTTTGGCATTTTGGACGAGAGTTCACAAAGATATGCACTCAAGGTGTTTGATTGTCTGGTAAGTACAGACCCTCATTTTTTTGCACAATAGAGGCCAATGAAATTGCATGTTGCTTACGGTGCGTGTGCATTTTCGTAATTCAGGTGCACATTATAAACTTGCTCCAGGACAGCAAGTTTCAGCATTTTAAACCAGTCATGGACACCTACATTGAAAGCCACTTTGCAGGAGCCCTGTCATACAGGTATGTTAAAAATCAGAAGCGTTTAACTCTCAGGACGCCTGGAATCGATCCATTGATTTGAAGTGGAAACTTAGAGGTGTAAATGTGTGCTTGTGAAGTGTACTTGTGCTGTCTTTCATTAAAGTAAATGCCACTTGGGTTGAGGTTTTGTTATATAATGCATGATATTTGATGCATTGAATGTGGCTTATGTGTCTAAATACTTTGTAGGGTCACTGTATAGTTTGTTTTTGTCCTGGACGTTTGTTCGCAGCTCTCTCAAAGCACTGATTCCTCACTCGAATAGCACTTCATTTTGCATGTTCATTCATCTGGGTCAGAGATCAGCCCACATTACAACCTACACAGTTGTCGAATGTGCATGTTACGCAACCAATTACGTTAAAAACTGGACAGAATCAAACAGACAGCCGTCAAGATCACTTGAAAAATGAGAAAGACTGTACAGTTTATTTGCAGAAATTAATTTGAACATATAGTTTAGAATCAAATCTAATAGACACGGATTGAAAGCCGCAACAGTCCAGTTTCATGGGGTGTTTAGACACATCTTTTTATTTCTAGTTATTCTTGCTCACTGGTGCAAATATATTGCGTCATGCTCTTTCATTTAAAGTCTCTTCCGTTCTGACTTTCAGTTCTCCTTTTGTTGTGATTTTTAGTCTCTTAAAAACCATGTAACCGCATGCTTGCAGAGCATTGGAAGATCAGCTCAAGAACTTTCCTCTCGTACTTCACTCGCTCCGGTGCGATGGACGTCACTTTCCTTCAACTTCTCACTGCAATGCTAGGAAATCAGTCAAAATGCCAGGGATCCCACCACATGATGCTATTGCAATGCTTCTTTTTATGTGTTGCAATACATGAGCTTTTACGATACACTGTGATTAAGAAGTCTCTCTTGTTTTCCTGCAGTATCACGGCTTCACTTAAAATTGCATTTTAGATCTATTTTTTTTCTATTGATTGTTTGAAATTCAGAATAAAGACGTGCTCGATTAGAATGCTAATGTTTTGGGAAGAAGACAAAAAACTTGATTAATAATTGGCAGACACATGGCTTAGTGGTTACATTGGGCTTTGGTGCTCCTACAGACAATGCAAGTTTGAATCCGGAATACAACATTTGCATGCTACATTGCACCCTACATCTGTTTCCAATCACTTTCTCTCTCCTATCCGTAAAAACGTCTCAGGTTGTGTATGTAACCATGGTTCCCTGAGAAAGGAACGAGACACTGCATCCTCTAGAGGTCGCTATGGGGAACGCCTTCAGCGTGACCGGTGTCTGAAGCATACATATGAACACAACAATAACATTGGCCGGCTACAGCCTATGACGTCATTACCCGGCGCGATCACAGTATAAAAGGGCGCCGGGAGAACACGTCATCGGCTTCTTCATCTGAAGTTTCTGTCTGAATCATGGCAAGGGAACTAGAGGACGCAGTGTCTCGTTCCCTTCTCAGGGAACCATGGTTACATACATAACCTGAGACGTTCCCTTCCGAGGGAACTTCGAACTGCGTCCTCTAGAGGTCGCTATGGGGAACGTTATACCCACGCCGCCATGCTGAGGGGAGTGCATGCCAGAAACCATGGCGAGCACTAAGTACCAACTCTACCATGGCCTTGGGAGTTGCCCCTAGGATGCCTTTAGTGCCTAGGGTGACATTATACCCTCCGGCTAAGATCCTGAGCTGCATACCCTAAACAACTTACCTGATAAGGGCTGGGTTGGGAAGCCTGAGCCTAGGGCAGAGCTCAAAGGCTTGGAATCAGAAGAAAGAGATTCCTTTGAGGGGATACGGCCAGGTGTCTAAAAAAAACAAACCAGACCCTGGCCTGTCACCCAGGGGGCTACTGCCTGCTCTGAATGAGCTTGGTCAAAAAACTGGCTCGACAGATCTTTGGTAGCAACACCCTGCTCAGAAATGTATCAACAGGGATACATAAGTTGAGTGGAGCCCAAGGTGAAAAGCACGTGCCATGTCTGGGGAGCAGATTGACCACAAATGGGACATCAGAAATGGGATCCAACTTAAAAGGTTCTCGGGAGCAGCGCTCTCTGCTCTCAAGCTGAGACGGGCCCTCAAAGCACAAACTGGGAACGATAGGCTCATAGCTAACCCTCGCAGTGAAGGGAGCATTCCTCAGCTCGACCAGAAGGCAGCGCTAGATTAGAAGGGGCAGTCTAGCAGGGCCCAATGAGAGACCATCAACTGGTGCAGCTGAACACAGTCTTATGCTCTCTATCTCGATAGAGAGCATGGGTCCCATTTAACCAGACCAGAAGAGAACCTGTAGAAACTACAGGACCCAATAACCCATTCATGCATGAAGAGCTACCGCTCCTCAGAGCTGAAGCACTCAGGAACGGTTTCCGCAGAAACATATCTCACTCATACCTCAGGGAACGCAGTGTACTCAAGCCCACTCCGCAGAGGGGCGCTTCACCGGTTCGACCATAAGGGCAGTGTGACAGGGAGGTCCCGTGGACCTGACCGTCTATCGCGGGCAATGGCCAGACAATTCTCACCACAACAGCAACACACAGCATTCATTCAGCTCCCACGGGAGCTAAACACACTCCGCCCACACGCTAGATTACGTCGGAAATCACGCGAGAATGGAAACCGCTGCCGCGAATGCGTCGCTATTCCCGCGAGAGGCAAACGCACTCATGCAAACGCTATACAAACTCGGGTAAATGGTGAAGTACTCGCCTCCCCCTCAGTAGTCCTGCGACTGCATCAGTCCACGAATGCATCACGATGAGCACAAGCCGTCTCCTCGTGAGTCGAGCGTGTTCAATTCATGCTTATCCCTCACAAGAAATAAGCAGTGAATGCAGAGCGCATTCAACTCCCTCGAGAGCTGAACGCGCATGCTCTTCACCACACACACACAACACGTGAGCTGTTGTGAAACTGCGGGTATCAGAGCAAAGCCTCTGGCGAGAGAACATGCACTCCTAGTCGTGCTTAGCTTATCGCTAACATAAACAAACGTACTCGCCTCCCCCTCAGTAGTCCTGCGACTGCATCAGTCCACGAATGCATCACGATGAGCACAAGCCGTCTCCTCGTGAGTCGAGCGTGTTCAATTCATGCTTATCCCTCACAAGAAATAAGCAGTGAATGCAGAGCGCATTCAACTCCCTCGAGAGCTGAACGCGCATGCTCTTCACCACACACACAACACGCGAGCCGTGTGAAACTGCAGGTATCACAGCAAAGCCTCTGGCGAGAGAACATGCACTCCTAGTCGTG